GATATGGAAATATTTTTTATTTTCCTTATTAAACCTTACACGTCATAACTCAAACCTGTCAGGCTAAATTTCAAATAAGTTTCGTAATTCACGTAAAATAATGGAAAGCGGACATCTTCGATCTGCTGACACTAACATTTGTAAGGTTTACCGGTTTAATCAATGAAATGAAAAATATTTTCGTAGCCTACTCTAATTTAAAAAGTTTTCGATCGCTCTTTAAAAATATGTACATCTGTACATATTCCATCTGGGATAGTATATGTTCAGAACATTTTAAAATGCACCTAATCGTCTCATTTTCCCCAAATCAGTCGATTCTGGATATCGCAGATGCATCAAGACGTTCAGAATGGTCAAAAATTGGAAATATAGTTCAGATTTTCAACAGAATTTTCATTTCTAGCGAAATTTGAACGCTTTCATAATAGAGTTATATTCCTCAAGTTTTTGAACGAATTTTTTGTAGCTACAAAAGACAACACCAAGTCATCTTTTTTTCGCCAAATTAATCGATTTCACATATCGCAAGTGCGTCAAGACGTTTCGAATAAGAATTTCATTTATAGCTAAAATTTTACGTTTTCGTGACATTTTAGACTCTGTTTGGTGGAAGAAACGCTAGAAATCATAGGAGAGAGTGTCAAAAGCTACCATTTCTGAAGTTTTTGCAGGAATTACTTGAACCTACAAACCCCAGAATGAGGAAAATGTAGCCAATCGTCTCATTTTCTCAAAATTAGTCGATTCTGTATATCGGAAGTGCATTAAGACATTCAGAATCGTCAAAACAAGTCAAAATATGTCTCAGAAGTTATGAATTGCGACAAATATATGATTTGTAGTTAAAATTTGGAGTTTTTTTTGATATTTCGAATCTACAAGCGTGGAAAAGATACCAAATCGTCTCCCTTTCGACAAATTAGTCGATGCTGCATATCTAAAATGCATCAACACGTTCAGAATGGTGAAAACAGGTCGAAACATAACTCAATAGCAGGGTTAGTGATGACTGTAACAGGAAATGATAAGAGGGAATGACAATATGCAGGTGGAGTTGAGAAAACTGAACCCAAAGAAAATGCAAATTTTTTTTACCATGAAATACCACTTTTTTGAGGCGGAATTTTTGAAATTTTTTTACCTATTGTACAGTATCATGTGGGTTCTCTTTACCCAGTTATTGTCGTTTTTAACTTTAAATGGCAATACAATTTTAATGGATACAGAAACAACGTTCTCAGAATACCTACATGATTAACTTTTGTTGAAATTGCAGAACACAAATGCTGCACACGAATTTGATTAATGTCAAAACAAGTGCCAGTATTTTCAATGTGTACTTTTTAAAAGAGCGATTGACTAAGTAACCATATGTGTATTCGCAAAATTAAACTCCCATTCAATCACATGATTAGATGGTTCAGGTGGTCAAAAGGCTTCTGCAAGTGAAGAGGATCGGATTTAGTAAATTATATTAAAGAAATTCCTTCGCTGCAGCCACAGAAACTCACTCAGACAGATTTTCCTGATAGAAAAATTAGAACAAATGTATTGATTAACTATAAAATCACGATAGGTGAAGAGCTGCACTCATAAATATGCATAAACCGTTATTGTAATATTTGAAGTTGCAACAAGAGTTTTTGCGCAAAGAAACCATCAATATAACTACATTGTAGACACATTCTCAAAAAAAAAAATATATTGTCACTTTCAGAAGCACGGAGATTTCCATATAACGTATAAGTACGAGTATTCTCCAACAAATAAGTGTCCATCAATAGAGACTAGTAGAAGATGCAAATGTGGAAAAATCTCCCAACATACAACGTAATAAACTGGTGTTATCAATATTCAGCATGATACAGTACGTAATCGATGAAAATTAAGCTTTTAAGTTTAATGATATAATCCATAAGAGACCTATATTAAATTTTAAAATACATGTTTCATTAATTTTATGATATATAATATTTAATTGTGTAATCTACATTAAAGCTGCTTTATTATTAAACAGAAATTTTTCATTAAATTCAATACGCTAATTAACAGTATTCAGTGGACGCAAATGTGTCTAATTTAAGCACAAACATGTCCAGTGTTGCTTTATTACAGATGAAACATTTCTTGCGGAGTTAGTGAAATAGCAAATAGCTCTATTAACTCCTTGATATTGATAATCAACTGTATCTAAATTTCGTGTTCTTGTATTTCAGCTTTTTAAATTTTTCAAAAAAACAACACAGAAAAAAATAATTAACACGAAATAACACTAATGTTTGTGAACAGTAAACAGGAATTAGAATTATCTATACTCTATGTCTTAAGCTATTTTCATTAAAGATCACTTGCCTTTGAACTACAACACGTAGGCTAAATATTATAAAAGTTATAAAAGAAACGGCGATTTAGCCGTACTGTGTGGGTAGTAAAAGAAGAAACCTAGACAATGTTATAGACACAGAGCGCCGAGAGAATCAAAGCACAATTTTTCTTACGATTGATTAAAAAGGAGCATTAAAGGGAAATATATAACTTTATATCCTTCATCGTACATGTTCACATCCAGTTACAATTACGCGTTCTTTGTCTAGTACATCAGTTAAGTTCCTCTCTTTTTACTCGCGGGAAGCCTGATCGCCACTCCTGTTATTTCCAGCACTTACCTTAAAAGTAAAAACATATATTAAATGTTTGAAATTAACCCAATGACACAGAGATGTCTTTTTTCCCTTTATATAAGACAATTTTTAACAGCAGCAACTATTTCTCGCAGTAGTGATAATTCTTAAATGTCACTTTTAAAAGTTCCCCTATTTGATATTTTTCATTTACGTCATTGTAGAAATACCAAGCAAATCATGCAAGACTACAGTCTTCCACATGCTCCTATTTAGTACATTGACTTGATTTCGCTTTCTAGTAAGATCTATATGTAGCCGACAGACTAAAATTGCGCAGTCTTCTAAAAGTAACACGAGTGAAGTGACTTTAGACATGATATTGAAACCCAAAATACGCTATAAAATTAAGTATTTTTAAAACGACAGCTATTAGCGGTTTCCACTTTTTTCAACATCAACACAGTTTTAAATTGATGACAAAACTGAGAAATATTTAAAAATAAGTCACCCCAAATTCGCTTTCGAAAATTTCAAAATTATCTATTTTTAAAATACAATAATTTTAAAACAAGTGCTTACCACAATATTGTTTTCGAGGATTTATAGAAAAAAAATGAGCAATTTCTACAGATTTATCCAGTATGAGTAATGCAATACCATTAATGGTTACTAATAAAAAACTTTCATTATTTCGTCTTTGAACCTTGTCTCTCATCGCTGCAGCTCTTTAGAAGCAAAAGAACACAAAATTGACAATATATTTTTATTCGCTTAATCAGTCCACTTTTATTATATTGATAAGCATAGTCGCTGGAAACTTAATAATAACAAAAGCTGAGCTGTAATTATTTAAAGCTTTGAAACTGTATAGTATTAAAATATGAACTCTAATAAAATTTTCTTAAAATCCTTGCAAGTGAAGTCTGCAATAAATGGAAAACATAGTAAGGCATACTACGAGTGTCTACGTAATTTCTAAGACCAAATTAAGCAAAATAATTTATTTCTTTAAAATTATTTTCCTGGTAAACATGTTGCTTACTCGTGAAAAGCAAGGAAAACATATTAAAAATATTTCCCAGTTATTTATTACAGAAAATGAAATTCTCCCTTTTAGGTTCCCAGCTTACGATCTTATCGAGTTGTTAAAGAAATCAAGGAAAATATTTTAATAGAATTTCATAAAGGGAACATTCAGTGCCGCTAAATAAAAAGCGGCAAAATACAGATCATGAAATTAAAGAAACGAATTCGAAAATTTCAACGAACTCATTATTGAAATTCGCACAATAACGTCACACGCTCTACTCGATTTTTGTCCTTTTTTAAACACGAATGTGCAAATGCTTATATCCTCTGAAATGATGTTTACTGTGAATTTTATAAAGAGCTTCAAAGTAGGAATCATACGAACTTTGAGTGCTTTGACTTCCGCAACTTAATAACTGAATTTGTATTAACGGACAATTGTATTTCAGTTGATAAATGCTATGAGTATTTATTTATTTATATTTTTTTTCATATAAAAGTCTTAAATTTATTATTTTTGTTAATAGAAAATACAAACAGAGTATATTTATATACGACTTCTTAGTTACAAATTTTTGGTGAATTTTGCACTAAGAAAGGTAGTCGGTGGCAATAAGATGCTGTGGATTTCAGAATGCGTGCAATAACTAACCTGGTTTTACCGAATATTTTTTCGTTTAAATTAGGATGTTCTAAGTCGAACGATAACGAGGGCGTGGAAAGACCAATATTGTCTTCATACACAATTTGTGACAATATACTTATTAAATGTCAACAGTCATTGAATGTGCTCTAATTAGGTAAACAAATATAATCTAAGAAACTACATGAGACGCATTACGGTCAGTCTCAAGACCCTAATTTAGTATCTATGTCTTCTATTATGAGTAAGTGGAGTAAGTTCACTGTAGTAAAATGTTCAAATATATTTATAACAACGAGGTATGAAAATTGTGTATGCTGGATATGTTATGGACGCTGTAATGTATTTTAAATTTTCTTTTTTTGTGAAAATAGTATAAAGCTACTTCTCCAACACACTAAAGTGATTTGTCTGAAATTCGTATAAAGTTACGTTAGACGCCCGTGGGCGTACAATATGGTTGCAAGTTCTAATGGAGAAGAAAGGAAGTTCATATGAACTTCATGCATTTTTTTATTAAATTTATATCAAATAAGGAATCAACCGAACTAAAAATTATAAAAAGATGAAGATATAATTTGTAAGGTAAAAATATTATTAACAACCACTGTTGTCTTTAAACAATTCTCGCGATAAGATATCTTATGTATATTTGAATACACCCGCAAAATTTCTATTAAAATTATTAACGTTTCCCTTACCTTATAATAATCGCAAGTATAGACATCTCTGCTCATGCCAAAGTCAGCAATTTTCACGACAGGTCCTTCTGCTACTAAACAATTTCTGCAAGCCAAATCTCGATGAACAAAACGTTGAGCTGCTAGATATTTCATCCCACTCGCGATTTGAAGAGCGATTGATAAGAGGTGCTTTTGTTTTAATTGAGGAACTTCGTCTTCGTATGCGGTTTTCTTCTGAGCTCTTAGAAGTTCTGCCAGGTCTCCATGGGGCATATATTCGAATACCATCATCGGACTGACAGCACCTTCTGTAAATTTTCAATTAAATAGGAATTAAAATTTTGTGTAAAAAAAACGGAGAGAATATATTAAAAAGGGTTTTTTTCTTTTGAATTAATTTTTTTTACAATTTGTCGAAAAATATTTTTTCGATATAACATACAGGGTATTTTAGTAAGAGTTTTGATGAGGTTAATTTTGTAACCGCTTAAACAAAACTAAACCTTTGTGGTCTAAAAACGTATATTTATCTAGGTATAGTAGCCACATTTCTAGAGTCGTTTATTTTCGAGCTTACGTATCGAATTTTTTTCTTTTTCTTTTTTATTAAAGTACATACTAATTTTGTGAAGTTCACCTAAAAGTTTTCGTAATCGGGATTGTAGATTTAATGTTGCTTTTGTATTAGGTGAGCAACATAATTTATAATCGAGTCATTCTTGGATTTCAATCCAACGATAAGTCGAACGTTGCGTCTAAAGCTACGTCATAAAAAATTTTGTCACAAAATTAACTTTAATTGTCGATAATTTTATATACCTAATACTTGAAAAGACACCCGAAAGCCAAAACTTCCTTCTAAACTGATTTATTTTTAGCTTTGATTTAAATTTTATACTTGACGCACAATGAAAAAGGAACGGGAAAAATATGTTGGTAACGTAATATCAGTGATTTCACCTTTTAGATTGTCAGCCGGCTAATTGCCATCAAAGTTGACATTTGAATTTTAAAACTCCACAAAAAAGAATTTATTTCTTCGCCAACAGTTTGGGTCAATCACCGTAAGTTTGAATTGAGCTTAACGTAACATTTTTTCTTTTGCGTTCTTGACAACAATCTTAATAACGCCAACCTCAACATGATTTGATATGTAAGAGTATCAAGTGACAGAATAGTTACTAAAATAAATAACTAAAATCCACGTTCACAATTTAAAATCCATAGTTACATGGTGGACATTTACGAAGGCCAACTGTAGTTTTTTTCAATATGCGTCGACCATATGTCAATTTATTAATCAATCTCGCTGTAACTGGCACATGAAACGTCGCTCCTAACCTTAGTTTCCTTTACATCAAAAAGAGTTTCTTTCAGAACTTTATTTACATATTTACGTATTCGCTGAAAGGTGGCAGTTCCATTGGAACATAAACCGTTTATGATTGAGTCGTATTTTTGAAATGGACAGAAGGTAAACGGTGTGTCCGATGCATGCAACTTGGGATGAATGCCGGGAAGAATTTCCCAACAACAACGTAGACTATGCTGATTTTTATAACTCATTATAACGGTGTGTGACAAAGTTCCCAAAAATCTCGTTTTTATGCGAGGTCGAAAAATAAGAGAACTCCAGAAAATATTGGAAATGTGGGATCAGTGCGTAATGCGGCAACGACATTCATGGCAGCAAATGGAATTATCACATATTTAGCATAACTATTATCACTGGTTTTCGGACACAATTGATTGCCGGCTGTTATAAAGAAACTTTTTTATAGACAAAGCCTGGTTTCATTTGAGTGACTATATTAATTCTTAAAATATGCCAAAATCGTGCACCGTAAATTCAAATATTCGTGTTGAGATTCCCCTTCGTTCACAAAAAATTGGAGTTTGAGATGCAAATAGTCAACAAGGATATTGTATATTCTTTGCGTATATTCTTTAAAGGTAATCATGGCAACAATAAGCATGTGATTAATTGCTTTATCCAGTGTCAATGTTCAAGGTAACCTTAGAGCCATTAGATGTCAGCAAGAAATTTTGGCAGATTTTATCCCCCAACTTCACGTTGATGAAATGGAAATAAGTTATTTTCAACAAGAGTTCAGCTAAAACAACAGCAATGTTACTGGAATTTTTTGATAACCGGATTATTATACAGAGATCAAGGCCCCGAGATTTTGTGATCTTACTCCTACAGACTTTTTTGTGGCCCTATTTAAAGAACATTATTTATCGAACACCTGCCAACAACTTTACTTGTAAGAAAATGGATAAGATTTTCAATATGTAACAGAATTGTACTGAATTTATACCTAGTTCATTTTTTAAGGGTGTGGACAAAATTATGCAACATAATATACACAAACTAAGGGTGACGTTCATTATTATATTTTAAATTCGAATAAAAAGTGTAATCCAAGAATACTTGTTAAAACAAATGAAACAACACATTTTAGGTTAGATTTTTACTTCCTGAGCGTAAGCTAACGAAGTATTGTAATCGTTAATCGAGTCCAAAGGCTGACTCCCTACTTTTTTCACCTTTGAAAAATGTGACTTCATAATGTCAATGACGACGTTAATTTTGTTTTGTAAAACAATAATTATTCAAAATTGTTTAACATACTGGAAGAAAATTGTCGATGTTTTATGACCTCTAGAAAAAGTACGTCTTGCGCTTCTGTCAGTCTGGCGCCTGACTATCTGTTTGTCCGTCAAATTTTATATGTATGTTAAAAAGAATATCGTGTAGATGGTAAAACGTCAACCAAAATTTGTCTAAACATCTCCACCAACAATTGGATGACATCATCTCTAAAGTTTATAATAATACATAACATCCCAGTAAACACAGTTGCGTCGTAGCGATGTTAATGCCACTTAACTCTGTCTACGATCTTGTTAGCTGTTACATACCAAACTGCGTACATTTGCTTTCCCTGTGCTATGTAATGTAATCAACAGTGACCCATGCTTGTAACATACTGGTGACATCCACATTGTTTCAGAGTAGAGACGTGCTCGCTGGTACGTCATCATAACGTTGTGTTAGTATGTCGCTAGATTCTCTATATTTTGATGTATCTGTTACGTTTTATTTTAAACGCCAATATAACGTATTAAATGGACATAGACGTTACGTATATATCGCAACATCGTAAACATATAACTCTCAGTATATTTTATTAACATGATCTATGCGATATGAATAGGCCTTTCAAAAAGTCTAGTTACCATTTAGGGATATGGATATGGAGAGTAAAATTTAGAGCTTACAGTAAATTATTATTTTATTCAATGTTTGAAAAAATAAAATATGTAATAAGTAATAAAATACAAAAATTAATACAAATTCATAATATAAATAAATAAATATATATATGATTTCCTAATTCGAAAATAATACAATATAATTTACACTTAAAAAAGACATAGAAACTATAAACTGTCGTTGTTTTTTCTTTCTTCAGGCGTTGACTAGAATGACTTAGCCACTCTGAGCAGCGTTGTTCTACTTCTTTTTCTATTGCGGAATGGGTCTTCATTGTAATTTCTTCAAAAATAAAAATTGTAATAATTATATTTATTGCAAAAAAAATACCTTTCATAATATTCATTGTTTTTGTCCCAGCCATTTTGGAATTTTCCTACCGAACAAACAAGCTACAGCAAATTCGCTGATTTTTTTTTTTTTTAAATACACGCCCCACATTGTTCTTTTTCCCATTACCACCTATCTGGGACAATAGCAGTTCCTGAAATAAGAAAAGAAGAAAATATTTTTATGTGTATATATCGAGCGACTCTGAAATAAGTTCGGAAAATAAAACCACAACATCATGAAGTAGAGAAAATTTTAAGTAATTTCTTTTATCTAGTCCTAATTCAGGGGAAAAAATATCAAGATCTACACCTCATTCAGTGCCATTTGTTTTCATCTAAACAACACACAGCAAAAATAAAGAAAAAATTTAGTCACAATGGAAACTGAATAAATCATTGCCGCATCATTTACATTTAACAAGATGTTCCGTATTTGTTTCTTGAAACTGGAGCAGCAATTTAATTACTTTGAATCCGTGTGACAATTAAAGGATTTTTTTTCCGAATCTATTTGGAAGTCACCGCGTATGTATAACATACAGGGTGCTTCACTATAAGACTTTTCTGCAACCCACTATGTATGTAACGTGTTAAGCGAAATGTGTCATGTTTAGTAGGTTCCTAAAAAGTGTTATAGTATTACAGGCATCTACCTGTATATAATATCCAAAATTATGTTATATGTAAGTACATATAAATATATTTAATCCAGTCATTTTAGCATAAAAAAGGGATCAACCTCGGAATGAGAGACAATAAGCTGAATTTTTGTATACGCCTTAATTTTGGCGTTCTAAAAGTTGTCTCAAAAGTCTCATAAAATCTCGTGTCTGCGTCGTAAGTTATTCAAGGTCAAAGGTCAAGAAAAACAGTTTTTTGCAATTATCTCAGTTTCTATTGCTCCAATGATGTTAACAATTATTATCATAATTGTAGAGCACAAAATTTGGGACAAATTTTATTTGAAATATTTTTTCATGCGCTCAATCGTTTTCGAGATAGAGGACAGTGAGCGCGTAGCGCTCGTCCATACGTACTGTAATGCAATCAACTGAATATCTGTGAATACTACCTTGAATTTTGAATAATTTGTATTATTAATCAATTAATACATTGTATTTAATAACATTTTACATATTTTCAATATATTCATAGAATAATACTTACCTACTTTGTGTAATTAAAAACTCATTTAATGAAATATTTATTGTATATCTCAATTTATTTATATCTTTAAAATGTGTAAGTTTTTAAATACTTATTTTTCTATCATGATTATAACTGAAAGGTCTGGAAACAACAATTCAGGGCACCGAAGATGACGACGATGAAACAGAAATTCCCGAACGTCCAGAAGATGACGGTGAAGAAGAAGAAAATTGATACTTTTGTTTTTTAAATTATTAAAAATTTATAGATTTTCACTGCAATTCAATTTCAATCGTAAGAAATGTACAGCTGCTGAATGAAGATAAAATTAAAATATATTAACTCGTTTTACTTCCTTAAAATTTACTTTGAAAAAATTAATATAACTTTAAATATAATAATCTAACCTAAGATATCCCTACAATAAATATGTCATTTAAAGAGTTTTTAATTATACAAAGTAGGTAAGTATCATTAAATAAATGTATTGAAAATATGCAAAATGTTATTAAATGCAATGTATTAACTCATAAATAATACAAATTTT